AATATACAGTATCCCAAAAGTGCCCCCATCATAACTAGGAACTCCACAAAAGTTATACCCCTGGATAGCCCTGGTTTGAGTGTATAACATATTCAAATATCACTCAGATCGGTTTAATGGAATTGGATTGCCACCAGGGTTTTGACCGGCCGGACCCAAGGGCATAGCCCAAAATAGTTCCAGAGAAATAGGAGTCTCAGCCAGTCTCTGTTCGGGGGTTCCTGTGCGAAAACCATGCAGGGGATTCTCTTGATTTCAGTCTACGAATGCTCCCCCTAGTCGGTAGTTCCCATCTCCCGAACATCGTTCTCATAGTTGATCGGGAAATAGAACGGGCATCAGTATAACTTTAACCGGGGTTCATGCGAGTGCCTAGCTGAAAAAAGTTCCAGGCACTCGACGACCAAGTGCCGCTGCCCATGTTCGGGAGACAAAATGGCCTCCGCTCTTTTGCCGACCACGTGCGTTTGGTTATATGAAAAGGCGGCCACCCAGAGGAGCATTCATTAATTACTTCCCTTGCAGTTTTGCACTTGCGATGTGTGAACGTTCTAATGGGGTACCAGGGTGGTCCTCGTTCTGGAGTCAAATGCAGGGTGTTTGGATACTATAACTCCCGAACGGACAAAAACGGAAATACACGAAATAGGCGGTATATTCCGTTACACATATATACACACACTGTCACATATACACACTGATACACATACACACACAATCTGACATACATTGCAGCCACCTGTTAGCTATATTTTATAATGTTATCACTATCTTGTGATTAAAATATTTCATATTCATATGCAATAATTTGAGTTTTGATTTTATCGAGTGTAATTAAATAATAATTTGCTATGGTAAAGGTATACTAATCCATTGCTAAACAAGTGGCCTGTGTATAAATAGGGTTTTAATTCTTTTATCAATAAACAAACTTTTCATTTACATTCTCACTTGTGAATCATGGCATAGCCCAAGTTTCCTTTCCATGCTTTCTCGTTTGCCCTATTGACCATTAACTTTGTCTGTCTATCACCCCATTGGCGAGCTTTCCTTAGAGCCATTCTTTCTTTCTATTGACCTCTCCCCCATTCACTGTCACCTGCTTTGCCTTGGATTGGCTGACTGCTGTTTATTCCCTCCCCTTTATTTATGAAGCCTATGGAGCAGCACAGCTAAGGGGAATGGGCCTTGACATTGCTAGGAGACAGGCATAAAAGGGGTGTAATTTGGGGAATTGGCAAGAGAAATTGGAGGTGGCGTGATGAAACACTGGAGTGACTTAGATATTTTTTCATGAAAGAGGGAATAGAGAAGTAAATTGCATAATTAAAGGGATTCTAAAGTGCCAGGAAAACAATCCCGTTTTCTTGGCACTGTAGGATCCTGGAGTGCCCCCTCCCTCCTGCCCGCCATCCCATGTCGCTGAAAGGGGTTAAAATCCCTTAACACTTACCTGAATCCAGCACCGATATCCCTCGGTGAAGGAGCAGTCTCCACCCACGCTCCTCCCCCGCCGACATCTGCCGGCGGAGGAGACCAAATGCGCATGCGCGGCAATGGCCGCACACATTAGACCTCCCCATAGGAAAGTATTATTCAATGCTTTCCTATAGGGATGCAGGCAATGCTGGAGGTCCTCATGCATAGTGAGAGAACGTCCAGCATCGTTTAGACGACCAAAAGTCGTCTAAGAACCCGGAAGTCCCTCTAGTGGCTGTCTGGTAGACAGCCACTCGAGGAGGACAAAACCCTGCAAGGTAATTATTGCAGTTTTTAAAAACTGTAATAATGACACTTGCAGAGTTAAGGGTGATGGGAGTTGACACCCAGACCCCTTTAATGGGCTGAAGTGGTCTGGGTGCCTGCAGTGTCCCTTTAAGACAAAAATAGAAGGGTTTAAAGTATAGATTAATGGGTTAATTTGTCCAACTACATATTACTATATGTGCATATAATTCCGTGAGGGCATTTCTCTGTGTGGGCTTTTTCTGTGTTGGCATTTTCGAGAGTGGGCATTTTTCCGAGTGGGCATTTTTCTGTGCGGGCAATTTTCAGTGTGAGCAATTTTCCACGTGGGTATTTTTCTTATGCGCTTTTTTAATAGATTCGCACACAAAGTACAACACTGCACACAACATACAACAGATTATATAATCAGTTATCTCAAACAAATATGGTAACTAATGCCACAGTGCCCCACTGTTGGTAGGTTGTAACCCAACTACATTGTGCTAATGGCAGTAATAGGCTCCCCAGTTAAACATTTGCTGATTGTGAAGTCCATGTAAGATGAGCAGTAATTTATATTCCTCTTGATACACTACTAACAACACACTTGTGGCAGAAAGGACTGACGCATAAATTTGATTAGACTTTTACTCATAAAAATAAAAAGTGTGAAGCACTCAACCGAACATGCATATATAAGTTTGGTGGCAAAAACCACTACAAGTGGTATAAGGAAATTAGTACTTACCTTCCCCTATGTATACATTGTGTTTATAAAGACTCAACTGATATATGCTAATTCAGGTGTGTATTTTGTGTTCGTTTTTTTTTGTTTTTGATTTTTAGTTTGGCATTATTTCATTGTTTTGCATTAAAACTCTGCAAAAGGATAGATAGATAGATAGATAGATATACGGATAGAGAAACAGACAGGTAGACAGACAGTTAGATAGATATATATATATATATAGACAGTGAGGCAGACAGATTGATAGTACTCGAATTATGTTCCTTAATAAACAGAAGAATTGTTTATTCCATTTACGAGAAAATGAAAGATAGATGTGAAGAAGAATCTTTTACGTAGACCATAAGTAATACAATTCCAATAAATGTATTTAAGCAACATTTTTTTTCTCCAAAATGTACATAAAATATAAACATTTCCAATTCAGAATATACCTCGGTGAAGCTGTGAGATGGACAATTAGAGCTTGTTTATATGAGCCCCACACATATCTGTAGTTGTTTCCCATGCCCTTCATACAAAAGGGAATTGACCAATTTATAATCCTAAGCATTTTAAAGGTCAGAGGCAAAATAAGAGATTTCAGAAGCTCTACATAATATACAGTTTTTTACTATAAAAGAATCATAGGTGTGGTATATATTTTATAATGGAACTTGAAGGAATGCTATTTGATTATGATACAATGTTTTTCTGCTGTTAGACAGGATGGATTTTGGATTTTGCTTAATTCACAATAATAAAAAAAATTAGCTATTTCTCCTAGTCCCCTGAATCTTTCAATGAACTGTATTGACACCATAACAACGTTACCAAAATTAAGTTGTTATGGTGCCCAAAGGCGCTTTCTTGAATGGTTTAACCCCAAATGTTGCTCTCTAGCACTGGATTTCCCTGCCCCCAGCGGCATTCAGTTTCTTCAATGCAGTGTCAGGAAGCGTGGAGTGCTGCAGGGTACACACCTTTTTCATGAATGAGGAGCTTCTGATTGGCTAGAGTGTCAGCTGACTGCTCTAACTCAATCAGTGGTGCCGCTGCCCGGCGGCACTCAGCACTTCCTAAAACTCCATTGAACAAACCAGATGTTGCTGGGGACAGGGAAAACCGGTGCTGGCAACCTTTGGGGTTAAATCACTTGAGAATGGTTTAGCCCCCTTCAGTTAAGATAGTGCCAGCGATCTCTGGGCATGATAACAACTTAACCCCTTAAGGACCGGACTGTTTTGGCCATGTTGTGCGTTAAGGACCAGGGCTCTTTGAACACTTTTGTGGTGTTTGTGTTTAACTGTAAATTTCTTCTCCCTCATTTACTGTTCCCATACAAATTATACATTGTTTTTTTCATGACAAGAAGGGTTTTCTTTACCTACCATTATTTGTATCATGTCACATAACTTACTTTAAAAAGAAATTATAAAATCTGGTGAAAAGTTAAAAAAAATATATTTTTTGACTTTTACTTGAAAAATCTTTTGCTTATTTACAAAAACTGATGAAAAAAAACTGCTAAATAGATTCAAAATTTCGTCCTGAGTTTAAAAACACAGAGTGTTTACGTGCTTTTTTGCTTTATTTTTTGCAAGTTATAGGGCTATAAGTACAAGTAGGAAATATATATTTTTAAAAAGTATAAATAGTGACAACATAACATTGTAATCTGTCATAAATCTCTGAATTATTTTTTGTGTGTTAAAAATGCAAGACACAATTATGAACGCTAACTTTGGCCAGTGTTTGTGACTAAGTGGCTACTAAAAAAGACTGAACATACCCCATTTGCAATACCTTGGGTTGTCTTCTTTTGCAAATGGTATGCTATCATGGGGGTAATTCTCATTCCTCGGCTACCATACTTTCAAAAGCAACATAACCAACCTGGCAAATTTCAATGTGAAAAAAAAGGAAAATCAAGCCTTATATTTGACCCTGTAACTTCAAAAACACTATAAAACCTGTACATGGGGGGTACTGTTATATTCGGAAGACTTCGCTCAACACAAATATTAGTGTTTCAAAAGAGTAAAACGTATCACAACAATTATATCATCAGTGAAAGTGCTGTTGGTGTTTGAAATATGCAAAAGACTTAACTTTCACTGGCAATATCATCACTGTGATATGTTTTACTGTTTTGAAACACTAATATTTGTGTATAGCGAATTCTCGCAAGTAAAATAGTACCACCCATGTAAAGGTTTTAGTGTGTCATGTAAAGTTACAGGGTTAAATACAGTGCTAGCAAATTAAATTCTCTGGACTTTCAGCCTGGGTTGTCAGGCAGGTCCCTCAAATAAAATTACTTAATTATGTAAAATGATTACATAAATATGCACGTAGAATTTAAATATATATATATATATATATATATATATAAAACAAGAGGGGGTTGGCTGCACTCACCGTAACATGCATAAATGGGGGTGCTGCTGGGGGCCAAATAATACAATACACAAGATCCAGCGCACTCACCTATCCACTAAACAGCAACTTCAATGTTGAAAGGTTTTATTTGTTTTTTTTAAAACACCTAATTTAGGCAAAAATAATGGGGGTTTAGTTACATTATATGATCATACATTGCAATGTATGATCATATAATGTAACTAAACCCCCATTATTTTTGCCTAGATTAGGTGTTTTAAAAAAAACAAATAAAATCTTTCAACATTGAAGTTGCTGTTTAGTGGATAGGTGAGTGCGCTGGATCTTGTGTATTGTATTATTTGGCCCCCAGCAGCACCCCCATTTATGCATGTTAAGGTGAGTGCAGCCAACCCCCTCTTGTTTTATATATATTTGGGAGTCTAGCCAACTCCTTGGTTTTGCACCCCTCCCTGTCACAGGTGCCTCATCCCAGGGCCCTATTTAGCCTTGTACTGCAGAGAGCCCCAGATGGAATTTCTTTCCCCAAGTAGGTTAATCTCATAAGAGCAGACATTAGGCTGTTAGTGTAGGACCTGCCAAAGATGGGGTACATTGACGTTGTGGCAGGCTTATGCACTGTATGATCATATAATGTAACTAAACCCCCATTATTTTTGCCTAGATTAGGTGTTTTTAAAAAAACAAATAAAATCTTTCAACATTGAAGTTGCTGTTTAGTGGATAGGTGAGTGCGCTGGATCTTGTGTATTATATATATATATATATATATATATATATATATTTATATATTTGAAGTCTACGTGTATATTTATGAAATTATTTCTGTAATTTTGTAAATGGATATATATATATTTTGTATTATTTTTATTTATTTATATATACATGGATATATATATATATAATTTCATTCTAAGTGTATTTTGATATAAATATATATATATATATATATATATATATCAATATCAAAATACAGTTAGAATAAAATTACATATATACAGTTGCAAGACAAAGTATGTGAACCCTTTGGAATGATATGGATTTCTGCACAAATTGGTCATGAAATGTGATCTGATCATCATCTAAGTCACAACAATAGACAATCACAGTCTGCTTAAACTAATAACACACAAAGAATGAAATGTTGCCATGTTTTTATTGAACACACCATGTAAACATTCACAGTGCAGGTGGAAAAAGTATGTGAACCCTTGGATTTAATAACTGGTTGAACCTCCTTTGGCAGCAATAACTTCAACCAAATGTTTCCTGTAGTTGCAGATCAGACGTGCACAATGGTCAGGAGTAATTCTTGACCATTCCTCTTTACAGAACTGTTTCAGTTCAGCAATATTCTTGGGATGTCTGGTGTGAATCGCTTTCTTGAGGTCATGCCTCAGCATCTCAATCGGGTTGAGGTCAGGACTCTGACTGGGCCACTTCAAAAGGCGTATTTTCTTCTGTTTAAGTCATTCTGTTGTTGATTTACTTCTATGCTTTGGGTCATTGTCCTGTTGCAACACCCACCTTCTGTTGAGCTTCAGCTGGTAGACAGATGGCCTTAAGTTGCCGGAGCAACCATAGACGCCTATGTCTCATTGGCTGCTCGCGCATGTACCGGCGCCGATCTGGGACAAACTTCAATAGACTGACCAACCTTAGTGTTTAGCATAGTGTTATCATGGCAACTGAAGTGCACCCTAGCGGCCAAGAGGGAAATCCCAGAATAAGCAATACACAGGAAAATAGAAATAGACAACCGCAGGGAAATAAATAAATCATTTAAAAAAATAGAAAGTCTCAGCTCAAATAGAGCTAAAGTGTAAATATAGACAGTGTTTGTAGTTTGGCTAAATTCCAAGCTAAAAGAAGGGGAGGGCAAAATAACCCTCTCACTCAACGTGTCTGATGTAAGTAAACTCACTTGTAATATGTGATTATACTAGATAGTGACAAAGGTCAAAAAATTACTTATTTATGTGCAAATATGATTTCCCTAAAAGGGGGAAAGAAATATCTTATAAAATCAATATTGGTAAAAAAAAAAAACAATATTAGTGAAAAAAACAAGATAATAAAAATCCCTGAGGTTGGAATTCATCCTGTTTAAACACCCGAGAGATAGTACCTATATATATATACAATAAAATATAATTATTAAAAATTATTAAAATTAAAAAGAACAATTTCAGATATATGGACCAAGGAGGAAGTTTTTCTTTTCTTTAAATGGCCTATACCCTCCACAGATAGATGAACAAATAGATAAACAAATACAAACAAAAAAATATTTACAAAAAAATTATTTACAAAAAAACTGAGAATGAATATTTTTCATTCAGGCCCTTGGGTGACAAGGTTCCCAACTGAAAAATCTAGTAGGACTCCTTTTGCAGTAAGAGTTTACCTCTGTCTCCCCCTCGGGCCGGAATGGGAACATGCTCAATAGCAATACATCGTAAAGCTGAGAGTTGATTTCGAAACTCCAAAACATGTCTGGCCACTGGTTTGACCGACTTGCCATCACAATAGGCAAGTCGAATGCTAGACCTGTGGCCTCTGATTCTCTCACATGTATGCCAATGCCTTCATGTATGAATATGAGACAAAATATATTCTGGCACAATTTGACCATCAAATCACCTGTTATTTCAGATTTATCGATGACATTTTAATTTTGTGGCGAGGTTCCAAAGAAGAGGCTTTACAATTTGTCAATGATTTGAATAATTTACCAACACAAGTAAAGATGACTGCTAATGTAGATGAGCATAGCGTCCAATTTTTGGACGTAGAAATTATGGTCATGAACCAGAAACTAGAGTACAAACTCTTCACCAAATTAACGGATCGCAATACTTTACTACACTTTGAGAGCTTTCATCCTAGACACCTTAAAAAGTCATTACCTGTGACGAGACCAATCTCGCCACATTGCATTGGAGAAGCCTGGTTGCTCGCCTGCTGCCTTTGGACTATGGCCCCCTTTTAAAAGACTTTATTTTTGCCTGCAGAAAAGCTTCATTCGTGCTTTTCTGCCTGGGGTTCGGTAGATTTGTTTGAATGTGTTATACCCCAGATAGGAATCCCATGGAGCCCATTCGTATGAAACTGACTGTAAAGACTTTGGCTCAATGGCGATTAAACTGTATTCGTGTGGTCTGAGCGCCATTCGCTTAATAATGTGCGCTCGGACCTGAGCTATCTGGGGATATGTTACATGTCTGTGTTTTATGTATAAATGTGACTTTATGTATTTTAAAGTGTTTTGTGTCTCTTTGCAACCATGTGCTTAATGGAGTCTTGTGTCTGTCCTGGGAGATAATTGAATTACTTATCTCCAGGATAGAAGACTCTGAAACTGGTTTGGGCCAGAAAGCCATGCTTCATTTAGTCACAAAGGACTTTTTACTAACTTTTGAACCCATTGTCTGATTTGTGCCATTTTTGAATATGTTGTTCCCCTGAATGGATTGATTGAGAATATGTAATTTTATGTGAATGTGATGTATGGTTTTGGAGTTATGAAAGTTGGGTAGAAAGTATGTTTTAACTGTTTGTATAATTGAGTTTCCTCTCAGGATAAGGGGAGGGAATATGTGGGATGTAACTGTGATATGATTGGTTGTTTTATCCCTCCCTGTGGGTGGTCCTGTATTTGAAACACTGTAATAAAAACCAGGCTGGGTGTGCCAGCACCTCAGACCACTGCTTGACCCTCAACACGGAGCCTTGTCTCGTTCTTGGGGGGATTCACTGTATGCTGTTAGAGACTGATTGCCAGGAGTGTAAGCTGTTCGTCTGCTTTTCCTGTTCGTCTGCTAGCAGCTATTTGGGAGGTTCCAGTTCGGGAGTTGGAGTGCTATTTTGTATCCAGTTCGTGAGTTTTGGTGTTCTGCAGTAGCTGTGCCTGGATCTCTGGAAAGGGGGCCGATCGCCTAAACGGTTTTTACCCCTTGTGTGCAAAACGGTCCGTTACATTACCCTATTCCCAATTTTTAAGGGTAATAAGGAATAACTCTCTCAACCAACAATGTGATCAACAATTACATCTCATGTATGAGAAATTCCAATCTAGGGGGTACCCGTGGTTGATTCTGAATAAAGCCTTAAATAAAGCGAGAGAAGCTGCCTCATCACCTTCTTCTCAACATCTGAAGTCTGCCAACAGCAGACCTATTTTTCCGATGCTTTTTAACAATGTTAGTTCGGAATTGACTTCGTCCATTCGTAACAATTGGCACACACTGGAACTAGACCCATCTCTTCCCGAGATTTTCCGTCAAAAGCCCATGTTTTGTTTTTGACGCAATAAGAACCTGAAGGATTTATTGGTCAAAACTGACCCACAGCATTGCTACAGTCCTGTTAAAAAAGAGAATACAAATGTTGGGTGTATTAGGTGTTTGGGGTGTGTGACGTGCGGTCACATTATCCCTTCAAAAACCTTTACTCACCCCCATACAGGCAAGCTTTATAATATCCAACAGCGCATTCATTGCCGGACCGACTTTGTTATCTATAAATTGACGTGCCCATGCACCTCTAGATTGTAAGTAGCCGTGGGTGCTGCCGAAGTTTTTAAATATTTTCCCCTTTGGACTGTACCAGCCTGTGTCAGTCCCAGGGGAGTAAAGAGGGAAGAGCTGGGGGCCGGTGCGGCTGCAATTAGGCTGCCCGCGGCTGGAGGGAGACCTGTCAGTGTCCCAGCACAATTTACAGCAATTTTGGCTGCATGTCCAGCCTCAGCACGCAAGCTCCGCCTCCTGCACACAAGCCCCACCCTCACACACGTTGGTGACCTCGCTGGAAGGAAGAGGCAACAAAATGCTAACTTACCTACCAGTGCCAGGTAAGCTTCAGCCATGATAGTGATTGTGTGTGTGCCTGCTAGTGAGTGAGTTTTTGTGTGTGTGTGTGTGTGTGTGTGTGTGCCTGCTAGTGAGTGAGTGTGTGTGTGTGTGTGTGTGTGTGCCTGCTGGTGAGTGAGCTTGTGTTTGTGTGTGTGTCTGCTAGTGAGTGAGTTTGTGTGTGTGTGTGTGTGTGTGTGCCTGCTGGTGAGTGAGCTTGTGTTTGTGTGTGTGTCTGCTAGTGAGTGAGTTTGTGTGTGTGTGTGTTTGCCTGCTAGTGAGTGAGCTTGTGTGTGTGTGCACCTGCTAGTGAGTGAGCTTGTGTGTGTGTCTGCTAGTGAGTGAGCTTGTGTGTGTGTGCCTGCTACTGAGTGAGCTTGTGTGTGTGTGTGCGCCTGCTAGTG